CCCCAAAACCCCAAAACCCCAAAACCCCAGTAGGTGATATCTTAAAAAGTTTGGAATTTAGATTTGATCATAAATAAATCATAATAATAGAGCTTTGACTCAGCACATTAATAGCATACACTATTAATGCTATTTCACCATTATCTTAGTAGGTATCTGAAGAATATCACCAGATCGGCTGCTGATTCTCACACTATCTTTCTCTTTTAAACTTTCAATAATGTGAACTCTTGGTCTTTTCCATCGGAATCGATTAGTTGTAATTTCTCTTGATATCGAACTTGCAAATAGGGCAAGTTCTACCTCTAGAAAGAAGCCATTTATCAATACAATCGGTATGGAAGAAGTGAAGGCATGGCATTGTTCTCACTGCCTCTCCATCTTCATAGTCCATGATGCAAATCATACATTTCTTATTAGTATCATCCTCTTGCCTTAGTAGGAACTCTTGATTGATTTTCCTCTCTGGCAATCTATTATTCTGTTTTTAAAAGCAAAATATCTTACGCTTAAACGATTGTCTTAGGAGTGACATTAGATGATCTATGCTGAGTGTGATGAGTGTTAGAGTATCTCTAAATCTGAGCTTGCTAAATAATCATCTCTCTTAGGATAGCTTGGTATTCATTTTCTCCTCCTTGTCTTTCATTCAAGTTATTGTATATCTAATCCATTATTTACCTTCTTGCATTGTTAGATGAGTTGTTTGAGGAATTTTGATTGCTTGAACTAGCTCTCCTGTTCGCTTTGGCCTCTTCTGGTTGACGTCACCTGCTATTTTCTGTCGTTTCAGATTAGGGGTCCTCTTCACCAAATGGATTATCACTAGTATTTTAATTAGCATTCTAATCACCCATCATTGAGGTATGTCTTCTCATCTGTCCATAGATTTCCATTAAATTTTAGTTCAAAACATGTGCTGCACTAGTATTAGCTGAAAATCCTAGCATCTCTTCTAAACCATCGGCTTCTTCTGTTCTCTGCGCACCTGCTGCGGCCGGTCTCATCCTCAAATGTGCACTCTGAGTTAGGCCATCTCTGTTTTAGATTTTCTCAGCAAATCTCTAATCAGCCAATACCTACTTCTTCTTAAACACTTCCCTAGTAAAGCCTACTTCCATTTCAATAATAGTCTATTTATCAATGATACCGCATTTAGGTCTGCAATCATTTACAAAGAATTCTTGATTATCAATCAAGATAGTTTCTCCTTTTTCAACGTAACACATAAAGCCACAGTAGAAATATGGATTGAGATAGTTTAATTTTAAGTATTCAAAAGTTTGCTCTTTGTGGGAATTTGCTTGCTCATGCTTTGAGTCATCTTCCCAAATTGGTGCTATTCTCATTACTTAAACAGCTTTAGGTGTTGATGAGTCAATCTTTATTTCTGTTGTAGTATGATCAATTCTTCCAAAGAAGGGTCTTGAGTACTTAACATAAAACTCATAATCTTCGAATTCTAGAATCTGATTTTTATGGACATAAAATTCTGGATTAGCTTGCAATATTGGCTTAATAGTAGTATCTAGTATTGCTGTTCTAGAGTTATCAAGTCTTCTCAGAGGAACAAGATTTATTCTTTTCATGACTTCGGTCTTAGATACAGCACTATAACATCGTCAATAATAATATTCTTACTAAGTGCATCTAATGATTGATTTTGAAGTAACTTTACCAAATTCGTAAGGTTCACATGCGGCGACATAGAACTCAATGTCACCTATTTTGAAATAGCTGCCCTTTTCTAATATTCTAGCTCTGATCTAGAAGAAAGGCATTAGTAGCTAGTTTTAAATGAGACTCAAGTTAACACCCTAAGTAGAATTATCTTTGAAATCTGATATAATTGAGTCTTTGTTGCAAAATAGAACTACATCTTCTAACTCATTAACGCTAGTAAATATCAATTAGTTTTGTATCCAAAGTATTTAATATGTAAATTAGATTGAAGTTGATTAAAGATAAATCTTGGCTGAATGAGCATAGATAATTATGTTTAATGATATATCCTTATAACTTACTACTTAGATGAGCTATCAGATTACTGAACACCAGTAAGTGAATGTCTCTATGACCTATTATTCTGCTTATTGCTTGAATTGCTGTTTGCATTTTACACAGCTGTTTAGTTTTACTAAGGTGTGACTCCTAACATAGTTTAAACCGATTGAATAATACTATTCAATATTTCTGACTTTCTGTTTGGAGTTTAAAAATTTTTAGCGGAAATCATGAGATCCGAGCTCCTCCCTTGATTATTTTAACCTATCGCCCTCATAAAATCCTTTTTCTCTTCTTCCTAATTCCAATCAGTTGGCTACATTTCTATTTTATGTTATGAGTAATGCTTTTTACTATTTGAACTTTTTAGCATTTTCTAAGATCCAAATGGATTCTCCTCCTTCAAATCTCCGGTACTATCATCTCTTTCGCAGTCATCTTCCTTATCATTTTGATCATCATCTTGATTATCTTCCTCATCAGCTTGCATATCATCTTCGTCGTCTAATTCATCTGGTTCTTGATCCATGTTCTATCTTTGAATAAGAGTTCTTAGTTATTACTCAGAACTAAAGAGATGCATTAAAATGATTATCTTACTAGTTTTTACCACTTTCGAAGACTATATTGCAATTATCGCACCTGCAATAGTTAATAAACTAAGTGTTTTAATAATTACATTAATGCATTTTCTAGTCCTGCGTCAAACACTTTATGTGAACAAGCTGGACATTTGACATATATCTCCCTTTCGAGGGGATCATTTTCGATCTTTATACCTTGATAAATGTTTTTTTGTCCAGAGCTAAGCTGTGCTTTTTTATTTGCTTAACTTGCTGCTAATTTTTTCTTTTGGCTATTATTTCCACCAACCGCACTATTCATAATTTTTTGTCTGATTTCAGCAGTCTTGGCTTGAAAGTCCTAGGAAATCTGGCTTCCTGTGATCTGAGCCATGTTCTGAAGCTTATGAGTAACGCTACCCTATTAATTTCCCATTTAAGATTTATCTCAAATTATTGATTTAGAGCACAAATTATAATTTTTTTTCTCCTCTTTAAAATACATACTTTTACTGAGGGGTTTTGGGGTTTTGGGGTTTTGGGG